CATCCTTCTTCAAATTCTGTTCTTACTCCGACTGCATTCTGTTTCCTTTCCTCTTCTGTTTATTCCAATTTTCTACTGGTTAGCATTCCACTTCTAATTTATGCTACATACTGTTTATATCTGTCTGTATAAGTAGCACATACCATAGTGGAAGAAAGTTAGGGGGCGGCAGATTAGTTGGTTAGGGTCCGCGTGACTATCGTACCCAATGGTTGGAGACTCTTGGTGACATGACTCAGAATCGATCACAATGGCGTCGGTGTATACACTCTGTCTTCCTTTAAACTATGAAATTAAAATTGCTTTATATCTTTCTTTCTACGAACTAATTCTTTCTTCTTGTACTTTATCCTTATATACAATCTTTCTTTAATATATTACCACCACTGAAATAACTACTTCTATGAATTTGGTATTAATCTAGTTGTGCTAATGAGGTATGACATCTTTGACCGATGCATATATATGCCTGTTCCTACGCTGTATCTGACTGACTGATTGATAAGTAATTTATAGATTTCTTGAGTTGGTGTTACATTTTGCAAGATTTCAATATTAAAACTAGAAATAAATATGAGTTCAATTTTTATTCAATAAATGAATATATTAATTAAACAATTATAGTTTTTACCTAGTTTCAATTTATTTTGTAGCCTATTTCTGGAAAAACCTACTACTTTATTCAATAATTTTTTTAGCTGTAATTCAAATGTCAATCTATAAAGCGAATACTCAATAAAACAAATTGTCACATCTTTAAAAACAAAACGAAATAAGACTAATTAGTTATAATTATACTCAGTTAATTGTAATAATCTCTATTCATTTATTAATAGAAACGTATTGATAGACAGAGTTGTGAAATTTCACAGTATCCCATTTGTATTCTGAATTTATTAGCGTATTACATAATCATCTAATTCATTTAGACTGAGTATTTTTATTTCTCCTAACTATCTTTATTTTTCATAAAATAATCTCGAACAGTACAAAATGCTCCACTTATATTCCATTGTTGACCATTCTATATAAAATTTAAAGCAAAATCGCATAACAGTTAAGAAATATCATATTTGTTTATTAACAAGTCGAGTTTTAGCAACAAATTAAAGTAGTAGGAGTAGTTGCTATTTACCAAAATAGGAGTATTTTCAAGTCTTGATAGAACTGATAGTGTTAATAAGATTGAAACCTTAGTATAACATAACCACAATTATAATAATATAAATTATGACTAAATCTCAGAAATGTATTGATGATTCTATGTAATTTGAGATCTTTATGTGAAGTAAAATAAAAAAATTAGCATTTTCATTGCGGATCATTATCAACTGTTTCTCCATTGCATGATAATTATTATTAGTTCATAGAAAGAACTATCATAAAATATAATAACTGCATATGTCCGTTATCTTTGTCATAAATTTCTTATTTTAGATCCATATTCCCACTACACTTCATGTATTCATTTAATGTATTTCTAGTTTATTGAATCTTCTAATGGAATTCACTTGATTAAGTTGAAACTACCTTATCTGTAGTCATTTAGTAGGTAGGCATTTGCCGAATTTTGAAGTTAGACTGGGCTTTACAAACTTCTCTAAACTAAAATAAGAAATTCAGGACAAAGATAACGGACATATTTAGTTATTACATGTTATGGTAGTAAATGTCTATAAAGATAAGTCCACCGTAAATTGATTTATTGAATAAATATGTTTTTTACTACAAAATTTAATATTGATTATGATGATTGGCCTGAGATTTGAAGTATTTCAAAGTTGTAGTCGTACACATTGAAAAAACTTATTATTTTGTGGCCTGTGATTTGACTCTACGTAAATCGTGTAAATGATTGTCATCGAAATATACATATCGCTTATTCTCATAGGTAATTGTCGACTTAAATCGAGTTAGTGAACAACGGAATTAAATAAGTCAATTACGAGAATGGATTTCGAATACGTGTATTTCATACAATCGTTGATCCGGACAGACGGTCGAAGAAACGAAACGGAGAGAAGAGAGCGAAGCAAAATGACGTGCGGTGAAGAAGACGAGTGAGCCAAATCAGTTTAATCAAGCGTTAATCGGTATTTATAGTCAGATAAAAATAAGTTACAAACATGTAATGAGTAAGATAGGAAATGAACACACATAAGATTACATAAAAACGGTCAAGATTGATAAGCAAATAATTAACAAGGTCAAAATGTAGCTTGAGAAAGATAAATAAATTGGTTTGTCCAGAAGCTAAAATAAGCTATATGTGCCGGATATAGGACCAGTTACTGTAATTCAACACTTTATAATGTTAGGATTGTAGATGTCGAATATTTCATTCCATATAAATCTATTACTTTTGTTTTCTAAAGGTATCAAACTGTGAAAATCGGTAATTTTGTCATACCATGTTATTTTACTGTTGACAGATTGTTCCTTTCTTTAAACTTATAGACGTAATTCATTTGTGAATTAGCTATTTACCGCAATTATGGGTATTCTCATCAGTGTACACCCACGAAATTATCATGGTCAATTTTGGGATAAAACGTTTTATTATACTTTGTGTTAGAAACGTCCAGTGTCGACGCATCACTTATTGATTGTCTATTAATCTTGACAGATAAGTTTGTAATTTTGAATTTTAAAAAAACTATAATTACCATACATTTTTAAAATTCTTAATAACCCTTTTAAAGTGCATGAGATTAGTTACGGTAATTAATTAGTTTAGGGAGTTTGTTAATCATTTAGTTACTAAACAATGAACTTGATCATTAAATTCAGTTGTGTTAATTTTTAATCAAGCAGGAACATTTATGGTAGTGTTACTATATCAGTAATGTATAATTTACCGATGATACTTTTACTGTATTTGTGAGTAGAAACATCATTACAAACTTCGAAATAGAAATTAGTGAATAAAATCTCTTTAGAGGTATTTAATAATAATAATAATAATAATAGCCTAAATAAATCTGTGATGGAGACTATAAAAACTAAATAAGAGTTCATTATATATAACTCTCCTGATTCTTATAATAATGAAGACTAAATAACTGTAATTCAGAATCTCTGATGCTCTTATTCTACTCTTTTCTGTAGTGAATTGTTAGCCGTCTTTCGACTGTATCAATTTAAATCTTAAAAATATCTCAAGGATGTGTTACACTTTCACATAACGGGAAACTACTTATAACTGTATAAAGAGGTAGATCCCATCAAGGAGAAAAGCATATAGTAGATCAACAGTTTATTCTGTATTCTTCGCACAGAACACTGTGGCATAAACAATTTTTAACAAAGACAATAATTTAGATAGAGAATTCTAAATTTTTCTGAGAAAATACTTGTTTCTATTTGATCCTACAATATACTCAGATCTTATTCTGAACACTTTCATACATATATTTACACTGAAAGTCCAAACGTACCAAACTAAACGCGCTACGATTTTATTTATTAAATATGCGGACAACATGTATAACAAATGGCAGTAAGTGGCCTAGTCAATTTCACATTACTACAGTAATTTTTATTTTGGATGATTCTCACAATTGTTCATTGAGTCATTCTAAGTTGTGTTTTCATACTTGAATTGTTAATCTTTCATAAACGTTCAAGAACACAAATTTTAATGACTTTTCTTTCACTGCAGTTGAACTGATAAATCTTGCAAATTTAACGCTATATTCGTTTCCTAAGCTAGAACTATACAGAGACCTGAACAACGAGAGAGGACGCAAAGTATGCGAGTACTTTACTCCAAGGTTCATTTCAATACAGAAAATATAGGGTTTTTATATTATTTTTAGAAGTCCTTGGGTTGCACGAAGATTCTAGAATGCTACTAAACATAGTAGCTTCTTAATGTTTCCTGAGCCTTCCTTGTTTTCTGCAAGAAATTTTCTGGATCACTCCAACAATAACTATACTAAAACGAGCTTTGCATACACAATGAAAATCGAAATTGCTAAGGTAAAAATATATAAATAAATATATTAACATAAAAGCAGTAAAACATCTCCAATAATAAATTGAATGGTTACTCATAGACATAGACATACACATAGACAAACAAATGAATGATCAATAAAGTTCAATTACACCATTATCATAAATAAGAAAAATTAAATTCAACCTGCAAAGAAAACTAATAATAATAATGAAGAGATTAAATCGGTTCGTCAAAACGGATACTTTATTTTTATCTTTCAAGTAAGTAAACAAACTCATAAGTGTCACATGTTCGCAGATAAAAATATGTTTGTTTGTTTTTCTTTTTGAAAAACAAGGACAATAATCACTAGTTTATTAAATCACACAGATTAAAACAACAAATGAAGCGAGATAAGAAAAAGAATTGGATGTGAATAAAATCATTTTTCCCAATTCACCATGCCATAGACACCACATGTTGTATAGGTAAACATGTGAAGAAGAGAATTAGTATTATAATGCTTACATATATGTTGACAAAGTTACAAATAAAATTAAAAAATATTCACAGATTAAACATAGAGAAAAGAGTTGAAGATGTACAGATATCAATGACCGGAAAATAGAAGTACATATTTTTACGATAAAAACCACGACGACGACAACAACACAAATAATAAAATCTGAATAGATAATTGTTCAAAACATTATCTGATTTAATGATAATAAACATTACAATATATCACAAGATCAAGTTAGTCAAAAGAAAATTAGAATAAAGAACAACGTATAATGCAAAATAATCAAACAAAAATACATCAACATATAACAAATTGAATAGAACTGAATTATAACAAATAATTATAGTTGGTTTGAGTATAGTTATTGATGATTTCAAACACATTATTACATGACAAAATGAAAATGAATGTTTAAGAGTGAAGAGAAGCAGTGAAAGCGATCAACTGATCATAGTTCTATTAAAATATTAAATACTATTACATGAATTAATAGGTTTAATTCATGTGATTATTATTGTTATTCATTACGAATAGTATTTATTCTTGTAATGCACGATGTTCTGGAGATATTGTTTCTGTACGACGATAGTTTGGATTTTGAGTTAAATAAAATATTAAACCACAGAATATTACCAATACAACACCAAGTAAATTGCCAATTAATTCACCAGCTTTCAAAACTGGATAACTAAATAACAAATAAATAGATAATTATTATTGGAAAAAAAAATATATATATAACAATTAAATTGATATAACTGTCGATGATTCACGTAAAGAAATAATTGGAAACTATGTTCTAATTTTACTCACAATAAGTATGGGTCTACTTTACAAAAGAATTAAGAGCTACATTGTTTATGTGGGACATTTAAAGGTACTAACCCGGTGTGCAGACTGATATTTAAGAAATGTTGTCTGAGCCTGGGAGACTTACTGGTTGAAAACCGATGATTGGTTCAATCTCTACACTACCAATCCACAATAAATTGTAGGAAATAAGATGTCTGGTAACTCATTAATCATTATTTGACATAATATCGATTTTAGTAGTACAAATTTTCTTGTTAACTGGACTACTTTTCATCAGAAACATACGTGAAATTATCGACTTATATATGACTAAATCACAAACTGTAAATAGATGGTTTTTTAAATCCAGTTATGTAATATACTTTATTTTACATTTGAACTGTCAATCTTCTAACTTAAAACAGCACGGGAGATATATGTCAACTTTGTTTTATAAACCTAACTGCAACTTCAACATCATTACATAATACCTAGACAACCATACTATGATGATGTGTTCAAACTTTTGGATAACACATTTTCAACCGTGAGAATATTACAATCAAGTTTGTTAGCATATTTATTACCTCGTGACTTCGAAAGGACAAAATAGATTATAATAGAACCAGTAGAGCGAAATGGGACAAATTAATTTGAAAGTGAAAATGAACGGTGAATAACCACTGTTGAAAATCTTTTAATACACACTTTTCAAAAGTTACAGGTGAATTAGATATAAGACGGTAACTTGTGGCAATAGTGAATATTTTTCGCTGAGTTATTTACTGTGATACTTATCTTACTAAATTAAGAATAAAGTAATTAGTCATTCATAATGAATATACAGCTTACTAAAAATGTGCATCAGCCCAAGTTCCAATACCACATCAATTTGACATGACGAAATTGAAAATAAATACCAAAGGAGCCGAAATAACGATAATATCAATGATCGTGGAAGGATGAAACATTTGAGAACGTATTTCAGTGAGAAGGTATGTATTCGAGACATAAAATGTACAAAGTAACATTGAAGACTAACACTTAGTAGAAAATAAACTGCAAATACATCTGAGCCATTGCGACCAATATGAATAAACTTAGCTTTAAAGCAAACTTTTTGTATACAGAATAATAATATTACTCAGTTGCTTAAACTGAAATAAATGGAGTTAAGTCTTAACCTAAACCCTATATAGTAAAAGTTAAATCTCTTCTGAAAGTACCATTGAATAAACGATATAAGATTTATTTTTGGTACTACATATTATAAAAAAACGAAAAAAAACGGGTGGGTAATTATTTCTTTGAAATGACACTTACGTTTTCGAAAAAAAGTTCTTCTCTGTAATCCCAGAGATACATACAGCAATCACTAGTAAATATAAAAAACTGCCTAGTGTAACATGTATGGGAAGAAGTTTACTACGAGCAACTTGGGGTGTCTGGGGTACCAGAAAGCCAATTAAACCTGCAACCCACTAAATTGAACCAAACGAGAAAAATTAGTAGATTATGAAATGAAATGAAAATATGGTTGACTGAAATCCACTTCAATGTGCATCGCTAATTTTTAAGATTAATTGATCTTTGGGACACTTAATTCATAGAAACAGAAATATTAAATCGTCCACTAAAGCTGCTAATAGTCATTTATGGAGTACAACATTGTTAGTGTTATTTCGATAAACTAGAGTGACTATCGACAAAAGGTTAACAGTTTTGATGAGACAAAATCTACATATAAGAAAATGATACAACTGTCTGTTCCACCTTCGCTAAATAAAGTCGGATTTCAGTCAGAAATCCTGGCTTGCTTGTAGTATTCCGACCATTCACTTCATATATTATTAGATTGTATGGGCTATTTGAAACATACAAAGAAGAAATATCGCCTCAAAATATTCTTGACATAAAATGTTCAACTTACTATCGAATATGAGGTTAAAAAAGGCAAGTTTCATATCATTTATTCAATGATTGTTTGAAATTTATTAATCATACTCATTGCCCTGATTAGCTTATATCCTTTCTGGGTATAGTCTCATCACTGAAGCATTCCATTGACTGAAAGATTATATTGTTCATGTAATTTTTTGGTGCAGTGGAATAATTATTGTTAAACTGTCAAACTACTACATTTTAATGGTAAAATCTACAGGCAAACGTACCGAACATCAATGGGTTCATTATTGCAAGACTTATTAATAACTGTTATCACCCCTAAACTAAAAACATAGTACCTCTGGACTTCATACAATGGAAGGTAAATTAGATGGGTTTTAAATTAATTTAAATGATTAAGGGTGTTCGAGGGGATTCATCATGAGCCATCTGACCTACTGAAGCTAACTCAGTACTGACACTTTGAAAGACGTTATAGATGACTTTTTAACTCAATCGAAGATTGATTGGACAAAGTATCAAGAAGTCGACTGTTACGCTTCTTGAAAAAAGGTTTTATGCCGTTATGTGCAGAATAGTTTTTAACATCAACCTAATGCTTTCAATTTATGCAAAGGATAAGCTGTCATAACTGTTCCTTTATATGCTCATTTACAGATTCACTTATACTTATGGATTAAAGCATTTCATTTCTAAGTGTAGCCCCGTATATATATAATTATACAGAAAAGACAAAATAGACATGACTTCTTTATAGACTACTTGAATGTTTAAAGCAATTTCACTAAACTCATGAAGTAACTATTTTTGCTTATCGAGAACTCATGAAATTCGTAACAAATGTACATTTTCAACGCTTATACACCACCTGGATCCTTTTGACACAGTTCATTATGACGACAATAAAATCTTATAATTTTTTGATGACTAGATTAAAAATGGACTTTTGAAAAGATTATTTTTCACTGGCATTTCATTTAGCAAAGATATGGAATAAATGGAATCTGGCTAGCTGTGAAATCCAAGATGCGCGTTTCGTCCTATTTGAGACTTGTCGGCAGGATGTACTTACATTCCGGAAAGGATGTTCACTCAGGATACCCACACGCCAACCATGGAGATCAGATTTTGGTCAATAGGATCAACGACGGGATAATCCAAAGTATTTCTTATTGAATTTAATAAAGATATTGAATAAGACTCAAATGTGATCTAATCACCTTTAATTGTATGTCTTCTACCTCTTTCTGTAAGTCTATTATAATCTAACGTATATCCAGTTAAATTATTGATGGTTTATCAGTCATTAGCCAAGAGCAACATAATTTTAACTGATAAGCATGAGAACGGTATAGCTGCCACAATAGGATAACAGTGTACAACATTATGACCCCCTTATTTAAAGCACGTAATATCTTCTCGGTGTTACATGTTCGTGATTTAGTAAAAAAAAATCTTAAGATTTTCTACAACCACATATATGAATAAAAATGAATGTAGATCTTCATTATACGCCTTACCTGTAATCCGAACACTATAATAGCTGTTATACCTAACCAACTGTGAAGACTGTATAAATTAGGTATTAATAAGGCATTGTGCATATCAAACACCGCTTTAGTTCCTAGAACACCGAATAAGAATGCAAGAATATGTAGGACAGCATGTAGAATTTTAATTGGTAGTTTTCGGAATGATCGAAATACACGATATACTAAAATTGCTATAATCAATTTTTTTTAAAGAGAGAAAAAAAACATTATATTCAGAAAAAATTAAAATATTTGAAATAAAACCACTGACAATAGGAAAATGTTTACAAAACAAACAGTTTACATAGTTATCTGCAAATTGTACAATAAAAGCTAATAAATCAAAACGACAGAGAGTTATCTAGTAACAACTTATCCTGCCCATAAATTTTATCGGATTCTAAATATTAATAAAATACAATATATTACTGGCTATAATAAGTAGCCAGAAAACGCATACATTGGTCGGTGTGTACATTGATTGAGATCATGATGAAAGTGGTGTTTGTTACTGCTGAATGGAATAGCCTGAATTAAAAAAACAGCATGAAAGAGGTACACCTGATTTTCTATTATGGAAGAAAGGTTGTCTTGAGCCACTGAATGATTAAACATCAAAGACAAAACCGCTAGCCAAATGAATAGATTTTTATGTAATAAAATAATACGCTCATATATATAATATAAATACAACATAAATATGATAAAATGTTATAAGGGATAGGAAGAAACGAGCTTTTAATTCACTCATTCTCTAATTAATTAAAATCTCACTGTTAGGCTTAATCTGGCATCATATCATTTCCAGAAGACACAAAATGATCTATAGAGAGAGAGAGAGCTTCTTTGTTATTTCAGCTAACAATTGCTCAATAGAAACCCAGTTCTAGATATTTTATATGACTGAGAAGTTTTTGGAGTATGATACAACATTCAAATATTCAAGGAGCACAAAGTGTTGTTGTCTAGTGAGGAATCATAATTTGTCACTAGTGAAGGGACCAGTTACCAGTAGTACTGGATAACCGTGTGAGGATAAGAATAGACTGCAGAGCTGTTTGATTTCGACTTGCAAGACCTGGAAATATTGGACACGGTTGATGAGGGGTTGCAAGCATGGAGTATTTGTCAGTCTCAAACTAGAATGAATCATGCATTCGTAGGTTTTTGTTTTTCAACGATTTCCCAGCTAATGACACTTTATGATGAAAACTGGGGAAATCCTAATTATTTTACTTTAGTGAGTCAACAACAGGAAAAGACTCCCAATTAGTCGTCTTAGAATGCTCAAAAGTATGGCAGTTTTGGAACATCATGATATGAGTAGCTCTCAAAGAATCAACAATGAGATTGCAAGAAAAATCTCTAAAGCATATAACAACACAGAAATCGTTTTTACGGTCAATTTAGTCCAGTTATAAATTATATGATGATTTTATTGAGAGACAGACCAGTTCTTTACAAGCCGGACAAAACCACACAAAAGAAAACAGATTGGGATGTTATACAAAATTCAATGTATAGTCCAACATCCAATTATATCTTAGACGTAAAAGTAAAAGGTAAGTTGGTATGTAATCTATGATAATCTGAACATACAATACAAAAAGTGGTTTATTATTTACACAACACATTTAAGAAATACTGATCTTTAAACATTACACTTTTGTCTTCAAATATTTTAAATTTTTACATTGTACATTAATTTCACGTTCTTGCAATATTAGTGTTGCTGGGATTATAGGACTTTCAACCATTTTTTGATATTAAATGATAACAGCCGATTACCAGGGCAGATATATATGTACAGTGTGACTCATCTCTGTCCACCAATAAGGATGGAATGGACATTAAACTAAAACTACTCTTTGTATACATCACTGATATAACAGGGAAAATACATCTTAAAATCATGAAAGTGACCGATCGATGAGACTTATATAAATCGATTGCTTAGCTACAAAATTATATTTATATTTATTTTCCCATTGAATATCTTACACATGAACATCTTATACTACTGGGGAAAATTTTTCAACTAGCCAATCATTATATGTTTTGGTTTCTGACTGATTGGGAGCTTGAGTTAATGAACCGGATGAATTTGTGAACAGTAATCACTGATGAAAATTGGTTCACTGTGCACCATTATTTGGTCAGCATTATATTTATTCATCTGAACCACTTATAACTCGTTCATTATTATTGCAAATCATAAAATCCCCGTCAAAATTAATAGCCGTATTTATTTCATATTTGCCATCTGCATGGTATAAATACAATACAACGCATTGTAATGCTTGAACTTCGGAATGATCTGTCACTGGCCAGTTTGGCTGAAATAAGTTTGTTTTTTGTATTAATAAATATAGTATGGAAAATCGTAATCTAAAATGATAATTTCAAGAGTATGTTTCCACAATATAGAAGTTTAGTTGGTAGAAAACGCTTGAGAATGTATATCTCATATATAGCTTGAAATTTAAGTCACTACTGGAAGTCGTTAGTTATACTTCTAGATATCAAAACGACAAACTTATTTTGAATTCATTATACATACAAATATCTTCTAAATTGTGAGGACTATACTTGGATATTACATTTACTGATGAGGAATGTCATGCGATCGGTTTACCATCGCGATACCCCTCCTTAATGAAATATGACAGATTAGAACCCGATGGTCGAATCATGCGCCAATAATTCCTATTACTACACAGCTAGACAAATAATATCCTCATAGCATTGTATATAGCTGATAATGGGTTTTACTGTATACTAACAAACTATGGGTTGACTTAAAACCCATAACTAAATACAAAAACATCTATGATTCATAATAATGGACGAAATTTAAATGAACATGTTACATATATATATATATCGTGAAGAACATACATAATTCCACATCACACTTACCATCGCCATATAAAAACACTAGACCCAAGACCATGAACAGAGGATGATAATTGAAGACTGTGTTGGCGTTAGTCCAACTAAAACCACCCCAGTATTTTCCCAACCAAACAGCTGTTAAAATGACGGCAAGTAACCCAAAAATCTAAAAGAAAGTTGAGCTGTCTTTATGATTGACAAACCTGTGATATGATGACAAGATAGATGAATGATTTCGAACTTCTAGGATGCGATTCCACAGGGTCATATCTATCCATTACCAAAGCCGTTCTACAAAAAAGCAACACAACGAAAGAAAGCTAATATAACAAACGTTTATTATTTGCAAACACATATGGATACATTCTACTGCTCTCAATAATAAACTGGTCCGGAATGTACTGGTCCAAGAACTCACTTTTATAACCGAAATACAGATCGACGAGTTTCTTTAGGTTTACTGTTATTTTTTGTTTTTAATATCGTAATATACTTGTTAATAAGCTGATAAACTGTCACATTCCGAAGATACAAATTTTGACTACCGCACATTAAATGAATAACTTAAATGTCAGCACATTAAACTCTACGTTTTTTCGTACATAAAAGCCGTAAATTTATGCTTACAGACTCCCTTTCCCAATAAAATATCTGAAATTTAGAATACAGACACATAACCGAGTCAACGTTGGGAAAAGCTCTCCAGAACGGCCGAATATTGTAGGATAATAGTAGCTATAAGTATGATCCATATAACATGAATTCCAAATCGCAGCATAAATATTTCTATCCAAGTGGAGCTGCGGATCAGTTAATGATGGACTGACTTATGATTCGAACGCCACTGAATACCTTGGCTTGGACATCCTATTGATACAAACTTTTACTGTTTTACTAAGCTGTAATTCTGATCTTATATTTTCGTGCTGTTGTAGAAGGATAGACACTTCTATTCGGCTATTGTTTAACTTTTGGAAGGCCAATTTAGCATTCGACAAACCAAGGGTCGTTTACAGAGTAGGATAGAGAGCTTGAGTCACACTATGATGGTATAAGAGATCCTTCAGTTACATTTTCAAAGATGATTTAGCAGGACTAACTAGATTAATATTTGATTCTTGTGCAGTCAATCTAAAGACAATCATTCGGGAGATATGTAATAATTATTTAAATAGGTGTCGATGTAGAGGCCGATCTATTTAGAAATTATGTAACTTTCTGACTTTGAAAGTAACAGAAAACTCTGTGATATTTCTTTCAAATACTACATTGAAATAGTAAAACTATATCATACAGGAGAACCAGTCAGGAATGGGAATAGTTTTAGATACATACCATTGTTGATTATTAACAGTTTGGATGCAAATCTGGAGAAAAACGTAGTAGACAATTGCTTATCAGTAGGACTGCTCGATGGGAGTTGTGAGAAAGCCCTAGGTTCAAAGCAACACTGAAAGTTATTTTTCAGGGTAGTAATTAAAGTTCGTCAATACAAACACAAGTGAGGTCATTTACGCACAACTGAAGTTTCTGTTAATCAATTTAAAAAAGGACAACCCAACTACCATCTGCGGCGTGCCTTGAAAATGATCCTTACCAGTGAGTAAGCTGCTCGGTTTATTTGTTCGTAACATGAAAAACTCGAAATATAATTCATAAATAATTTAACTATACTAAAAAATATATAAACCACAATCTTACTTGACTTTTCTACAGAAAATAAACTAGTTCTATGTGCTTTTCGTTTAGGGGTTTCTCAAGTTGAACTAATTCCCTTCTACCAAATTATTTTTATAACTAATGGACAGGATTATTTCGTTGGACATTACCACAAACCTTTTGTTTCGGCAAGAGTCACGCAAGCTATGAGTAAGGTAACATAATTAAGTAAGGTTTATCGTTTAACGGAAATATGACTAAAACAAAGGTATATACAGTTATATTCTCAACAACTGAACTTTATCAAACATTTAAAACGAGCAATGATTACAAACCCAAAGAACAGTAATAAAAAAGTTAAGTCCTTACGAGAATAGATGCTATACTTAGAACCGACAGGTGCGAGTTCGCAAAGTTGAGTATGTCAGCACTCTACGGCAATATTTTAAACCATGGCCAAGGTCACAACATAGGTTTGGCCTTAGTTTAGGTAGATAAACAAACAAAACCCAATAGAATCATAGTCGTATTACTTTACATTTCTTTTAATAGATCCACACACAAAATTATTGCTATTACGTCTCTAATGGAACAAGGTAGCTACACAGATGAATCTATTTTTACTTGCTATCTAAACTTTTCACGTCCAGAAATTTGTATTTACACGGATTACAACGACCCTCCGTTTAGACTCCGACGAAAAAGCATAAGATCATTACATACATAAGGAACTGTATTTCATCGTATTCTATACGCTTGTTTCAACAGTTCCACTTTATTTGTGAAAACGGTTACGTGAAAGTTATTCATGTGAAGCTTGAAATGTAAGTAGAAACCATTTTTGGATAACGGGAAAAGGAATAAAACATATCCAAATACCTAGTGACACACGTCTTGAACAACCTTGTCTAGTCTTATTAATTTATTCAGTAACCTTGACTTGTGTTAAATTTAGTATACCTGGTTTAAGTACAGTTTAAAGTACTTTGGTTATTGAGCGACTTGATTAGACATATACTAAATAATCTTGCGAATGTCTTTAAACAATTTCAGTCTGCTTCCAAATCATAAAGCATCCACCTATAACGCATCATATGTACCGCATTAAGACTAGAATTGTATCAATCCAAAACAAGCTTGGTTGATTCGTTGCCACTCATATATTCTTCGTTCGTATGCAACACATTTGATGTTTTATATTGGTCGAATCTTCTTAAACCAATCAATTTATAACTAACCGAACATTTGATATTAGTAGATGCACTATGTCAGTCTATTTTCTCTTTATTATTACAATATCCGTTACCTGGACAATCTCAAGAGAACATTTGCGTGTCAGTGCCAACATTTTAGGACTTCGATAGTGACTTCATTTTTTCACAAACAGTCAATTCTATTTCTCAAAACAGATGAACACAAGTGAAGAATTATTCGGACGAACTTTGTCTTGTTTAAATGAACAGTAAAGGGAGCTTGATATACGGTTCGTAAAACACCCAACCTTAAGCCTTATCGATCACAATCTCTAGTAATATGTCAATCTTATGTACCTCAAAGACCAGTATAAGACCGTTGAAAGTGAGTAAGAAATCTAGATTCAATGAAAGATTCTTAGCATCAGGACAGGAGCGTAAAGACATTGGTCTCATCACACTTAGAGTAGCTAGCTAAATGTTATTTGGGATCATCGAATTATGTTAGATAAGTATGATAATTAGGAGAGTTTGAATTAAAGTACGAACTAACAATCTCAGAAATAACCCAGTCAGATCGAAAAGTACAAGATAAGTACGAACGAATGTTCTGTGTTTGGGATTCGAAATCAAGTATTCAACAGATACAAATGAATCATTAGTTCATTCAAACACTACAATAAGCTGCATGATAATTACTTTGTGTTACACTGAAGGTTCAGTATTGTTAAATCTTCCATTTCGTCTGGACTACATTGAGCTTGATCTGCAGTGTATCACAACAATACTGAGATCATCAGGATGTCAGCGACATTTAAACTAGGGGGGTTGATTATTCACATCACTATCAATACCTGTAGCACCCTTACTTCAACTTTGGTTGGATATAAAATTGCTAATACATGCGTTTGACATTTACATGCATTTTATTATGAAATATCAATATTTGATATGAAATATCAAATAGATATGCGAATTTTGTCAATTATTTTATTTATTTTCGGACATCGTTGTTACACTTTAAAATTCCGACCAATGGCTTTCACGCACAGGCTGTTATAAAAAGGGTTTTTCGGTAAATGTGTGTCGCGTGTAATTGTTCTTTCCGTTATGGACAAGTGTGATGGGTGTTCTTTGTTTCATATTTGAGGATCCTGATTTTCCCATTGTGTATGTTGAGGCTTACTGACAAAGAGGCTTTTGCTACACTAGTTGCCTTGACATGCGTTTGTTGGTTTTATGGGATAGAAGAACTAGGTACTCGACGAATTCAAAATCGTCCAGTCCTTTCTAAGCGGTTCTATTCTCCATAATCCAGTCAACCATCAGAAGAAAGAGAATGGGAGACAGCAGATAGTCTTGTCTGGTTCCAATCTTTAGGGATGAACTTACAATAACTGAGAAGAATTACATTTAAAACTAGACACCCGGATAGGGCCGAAACGGTGAACGTGTGGGATCTGTTCGGAATTAATAATAATAATTTATTCTCAAATAACAGTTTGTTACACGAGGCATGCCAGTTTACAGGCAAGATCAAATTGTTACAAATAAAAGAAAATTTGTGCCTGATGTTGAATTTGGAAGTATTAGCAAACCAAACAGAAGAGTAAATCCAAACATTCAAAAATCGATGCAAATGAATATTATCAATATAGAAGAATTTTAATTTTTTAAAACCTATGTGTTCCGAGTACCCTCATTTATATGGACTACCTAAAATTCACAAACCAAACAATCCTTCACGACCAATTTTATCAATGTGCCGATCATCTAAACAAAACCTGGATAAATGGCTAACAAAATCGTTTGACCCTTTTTGAAAATGTTTATGTAAGTATTCTGTGAAGGATTCTTTTGAAATGATCGACCATTTAGGTGATATTAATATCAAGGAAAAAACAATGTGTTCATTTGATGTGAATTCTCCCTTTAGGAACGTACCTTATGAAAAGACTATTGATACATTATGTGACTACACATATTTAAACAATCTCAAATTTCGTGCCCCTTTAAAAAGTCGTAAAGACTTATTATTATAATGTACTGATTAAGTTCAGTTCACTTGAAGGTGAATACTTTCTCCAGGTTTATGGGGTTGCAATAGTTAGTCTGCTAGGACCATTGTTAGCAGATGTGATCATGGCACATGTTGAAATTCTGGCTGATGACGTAATCGAAAACATGTCACTTTATAAGGGATGTGTGGACCATATCTTAGTTGTTTGTGAACGAGAAGAGGATATGTATTGTTTATTGCATCAATTTGACACTCTCCTAAAGCGTATCAGTCTCTCATGTGAAGAGGAGAAGAACGATCGGCTTCCCTTCCTAGATATACTTCTAAGTAGACGAGATGGCTTAGTCAAGCTATCCATTTTTAGAAAACCAACATGGACACGTCAATACCTTAATTATTATAGTTATTGCACTGTGCAATACAAACGGGGTTTGATAATGTGCCTTTTCAACAGGCTTGATCGTATTTGTACAAATGACGCCATTGATGATGATGTTAAGTTGCTCAATAAAAAATTAATAGAAAATGGCTATCCTCTGAAATTCATAAATAGATGGAAAGTCCATGGTACAGCGAGACCTACTGTAGCCTCGGTAGAGAAAAAGCCTGTCTACATCACCTTACCATTCAGAGGTGATCCAAATAGCCTTCCATTGAAACAAAGACTTAAATCAGTCATCAACAAAATGAATTGTACAGCAAAGGTCATTATCAAAGAAAGAACAAGGTGCATGCTTCATTAAAAGCCTAAAAGACATGAAAATAATTGTGTCACATCCCACTGTGTTTACCAATCTAAATGTGTGTGTGTGTGGTCACACATACTTAGGGAGGAGCAATCATGATCTCAAAATTAGGGTGTGTGAACACGTACCAAAATGGTCGCAGGAACAAATACAACCAAGTGGCCCAATAAGAGAAGAGGAAAAGCATCCATGATCCTCTATTGTTAAACATATAATTGAAACAGGCCATAAGGTTGATCTAAACTCGCCTTTTGTGGTGTTTTATAAAAGTGTAAAAGGGTGTGTACTAAGGTTTATTAAAGCCTTGGACATACGAAAATTTAAACCTCTTTTGTGTATTCAAAAACAGTTTGTTCAAACCTTAAACCTACCCTGTTCAAAGACGTTCAAAGATGTTCAAAGACGTTTCACACGTCAACTACTAGGATGTAACTCGAATCTCGATTACACAGACAGATGTAAGCATCTATCTTTAGAACCTTTATGGCACCGTAGGCTAAAACACAATTTAATATTTCTCTACAAAGCGATATATGGGCTCTCTTTTCTAACCTCCTGCCCGACTGTCACCCACGACCCAGCCTATAGACTTAGAAACAACGCATATACACTACTTACCGTAAAACACCAAAAACAAATGCGTTACAAGTTCTTTACGGTACGGTACAGTTTATTGTGGAACAGGCTGCCAATGCCTATCCGTAACTATGATACGTTTACCAGATTCAAAAAGCTAATAACCCTATTTCTAGACTCCAAAGAGCTTCGACATTACCTTGAACTCCCGCCCACCGATGAGGCACTCTATTACGGACCGCCTAGTATCTAGAAAGAACAAAATTATAACAAGTTCGACTGTTACTAATCTGAATATAACCAAATCATAGGATATATGGCTTATCCTTTCCTATTATTCATTGTTTATTAATCATGATTTCATGCTCCTAACCCTAGCTTTCAGTCCCCAAATCTCTACAGGTTAAATGTACATTATTCTTCCTAAAAGTCATGCTTTTTTTTCTACTGCAAGTAGACAGATAGCTCAATCTTATGGATGCTGATCTACTAAGGCCGATCATTCAAAGCTCAAAATTTGGCCACAAAGTCTTGTGAGTTTCTCAATGTTTTATTTTTCTCACCCTAAAGTCTTTTTCTTTTTTTCTACAGTTTTATACCCTCTCATATCTTTTGATTTACTATTAATCCTTACTTCTTTAAACCATTAGTTATTTTCATAGCAGTGTGATATACTCTATGGACATCTAACCCATAAAACAGAATTTTTAAATATCTGATTTGCTTGTAACATGGACCTAGTAGAGACCGTGTATTCCAACTATGTGCTTTGATAAAAGCATTAATCATACTTACCACAAACGTAAGAGAGCCTAACATCACAAAAGGAGGGAGGGTGGCGTTACTGACCAGCAAACATGAAGGTGGGGAGATAACTTCAATCCACCCATGTCTTTAGGGCAGAACATTTTGTTTAATTACGGCTCCTTATGGTTTAGTGGGATGTCACGGACTTAAGGTATTGAAGCTGATTTATCACGCAAAATACCTCTTTAAATCGTGTTACGAACGTTGAATTGGTTTCACTTCCTACCCAGAAATCCTATTACAAGCAAACTAGACAATTCGCTAATATACGAAGCCTACTCAAGACCCTATAATCCTGAAAAAAACAAATAAAAAAAACGAAAGGGGCTCTAATAGCTTCGATAATAAAAGGAAGATAGCCAGTTGTATATCACAATACTGTTTCTAGCACTATATTTTATTTTATAATCACACATAATCTTATACTCTCAGCTCTTTTCCGAATCGCCTCCATTTGTCAGTTGTATG